GAACCTCAGACCCTGGTCAAACCCACACCCCATAGATTTTATTGATAAATCAGTTCAAAATGTATGAGCCACAGAAACATATTTAATAAAATATTGTATATTCATATTTGCTCCTTGACATTCTATAACCTTCATAAGTCTTTTAGTCATTGATTTTTGCTAAATTTTTCCTGTTCATATACATCTCTTCTAATGATAAACTACAAATTCTCTATAGAATTAATATCAGAAAAGTCTGGGGAGTATTGTATTCATTTGGTATCCTTGAAATATTTTCTTTTGCAATGTGGGAAATAGCTTTGCAGAATATTAAGGGGCATTCACTTACTTAAATATACTTTTTTGCTTCAACTGATTAACATCAAATCCCATTTAAGCTATTTACTTCATTCAGACTGTTGCCTCATCTTTATTGCCATATTTACAGTGTTTTTGGCCATTGTATGCTCTGGCCTTTTTCAGGTGATATACGTTGGAATTTTGAACCAAACACTTTATTTAGTCCATGGGGGTAGATTGTTCTAATTTCACATGCCATGCCTTTTATGGATGTCTCAAGTTTTAGTTAATTCCCTTTAGTAAGTCAAGTAAGTAACTCAAGTAAGATTGTAAGTAAAAGTTTCCTTGTTCCTCTATTTCTTAAGAATTACTTGTTGCTCACTTGTTCTGTGTATTTTGCCTCAATCTAATCACTAACCTTTGTATTTCGAGGTTCTTTTGTAATTTCTCAAAGGGGTAATTCCATGTTAAATCATCCTGGAAAAAAATGTCTACTTTTACCTCTTCAATTTTTCTGAAATTTTGTCTGTGTGTTGACTATGTTTAAAGTAAGACAATCTCCAAAATTTGGGCTTCTGATTCCAAAAATTGTCTGATTTACATCAATCTTTAGTTTTCTCCAGTTTTGGGGTAACACAAAAAATTGTGACATTTCATAATCTATTTTTGCCTGTAAAATTAGTTCTAGAGCTTAATTACTCCTAAAAATTGGCTCAGAAAAGCTTTTTGGCCTGAGGAATCTGAAAATGCTATAAAAAAAAAAAGCTCAAAATTAACTAATTTTAAGTTATTAATGATTTCTGATTTTTTTTTTTTTTTCATAGCAAGATCAATATGGAGGAGAATTCCCATGTAGCAGTGCATCTATGATATTTTTTTATTATTATTATTATATATATTTATTATTATTATTATTATTATATATATTTATTATTATTATTATTATTATATATATTTATTATTATTATTATTATATATATTTATTATTTTATTATTATTATATATATTTATTATTATTATTATTATTATATATATTTATTATTATTATTATTATTATATATATTTTTATTATTATTATTATATATTTATTATTATTATTATTATATATATTTATTATTATTATTATTATATATATTTATTATTATATATTATATATATTTATTATTATTTATTATTATATATATTTATTATTATTATATTATTATATATATTTATTATTATTATATTATTATATATATTTATTATTATTATATTATTATATATATTTATTATTATTATATTATTATATATATTTATTATTATTATTATTATTATTATATATATTGAACATTATTTATACTAAAAAGATAGTTTGGTTATTTTTTTAGTTTGCTCAGAATAGAAGCTATAACATTAGTTAAAATGTTGTACTTTTATATTTTAAGTGTTTCTATTCAGCCATTGAATAAGGTCTATATGAAACAAAATAACTATCAGCATGAAACGGAAATAATTTTTTTAAAATAATTTGAAGATTTCTTGACATGTCTGTCTACCTAACAGTTCTGGGGGATTAGGAGGTGAAGGAACTACAACTGTGTTAGCTACAAGACCTGAAGAGGAAGGTAAAAGGTCTTGTAGTAGGTATCACAGGTATATCATTTTTCAATTATTCTAGTTGAGACAGTAGTCCCAAATTCAAAGAGGCAAAACATTGTCACAGGATACAATCAACTTGCTAACTGAATTTTATAATGATGATGATTTTAGCCAGCAGTTACCTGGTAGTAAATACTATATAATTATTCAGGACACAGTATAAACAAAAATGACTGGTTTTGTGCAACTTAAAAGAGCTACATGCTGCTTTTAAAGAAAGACATCCTGATTTGAAGATAGGCTTCTCAAAGTTCTGCTCTTTGCACCCCAAATGGTGTGTCATTGTTGGCTTAAGTGGTACTCATTCAGTGTGTGCTTGTATACACCACCAGAATGCAGTTCTTTTGGTGGATTCAATCAACTGGAACATAACATAACAAAGATTTGATCAGCAAGGTGATATATGACCCATCAAACAGAATATGCATAATGCATCACTGTGAAAAGGGCATTGGATCTAATGCACTTAGTATGTCCCATTTCAAGTTTCCTTTGTGTCCCTTGTATCCTCCTTTTCCATTGTCCATATATTTATCTTTCAGGTCAGTCAGGAGTTTGTAGTATTGCAATTTGGCTGCTGTTTTAGGCTTCTTCAATTTCCATAGATTCACTCTTACTTTATATATAACAGGGTGATGATCACTTCCACAGTCGGCACTTGGGTAGGTTTTGCAGTCCTGAATCTTTTGTTGATAGTTATGTAGCCAATTTGGTTTTTAGTTTCTTCTCCTGAGCTCCTCTATGTCCATAATCGTCTTGAATGTTCTTGGAACCATGTTTTATATGGATGGGGAGCTTCAGGAATTTGAGCCTGATGCCGAATTCTATTATTCACAATTGCAATCAACTGACCACTCCACTTTGGTAATACTAACAACGTGAGGAATACAAACAGATTTTAGTTGAGACAATTGATACTTTAAGTAAGTATGCATATGTAGCAAAATGTCAGGCTAAATACCTAAAAATGAAGAAACAAACGAAACCATTATTCTAGGCAATTTTTCAGAAAATTATCAATTTATAATTCAGGTTGAGATTCAGTGGTATCATTGGTATAAAATGTATTGCGCTATACATCCAGTAGTCATTTATTTCATTAGCAGTCATGGTGTTCTCTCCCATGATTCTCTGTGTTTTGTTTCTGTTATGGTCCAAGTTCCTTATACCACAGTGATGGTCCAAGGTTAGAACCAATGAAAGAATAACACAAACACAGGTATGGAATACAAAGATATATTACAACAGAAATATAAAAGAAGTAGAAGTATTAGTAATGACTATCAGATTTGGTTAGAGTGAACTATGTTGTCTCGACAAGTATCTCTATTCCAATGTCCTTACAATATGCTCTCAATTATCTCTCCTCGTCTTACAATCTCCTCATACCTCTTGAGAAGCGCAGTATTTATAATGTCAGGAATATTCCATTATTATTATGGGTAAGTTCCCATAACAGTTTCAGAAGATAAAAACCATGATAAAGCTTTTGTTTATGAAGTACAAAGATTGACAACTGACTACATTAACAAATATCTCAGTATTGAAAAACTAGATTATTTTTCTAATGGTTTTGCTGGGCAATACAAAATTTACAAAAATCTTGTTAATTTATGTCACCATAAGCAGGATTTCCAACTTGATACTAAGTGAATTTTCTTTGCAACAAGTTATGGTAAGCCACTATATGATGGAATTGGAGGTTTTGTCAAGAGACATGTTGCCAAAAAAAGTCTACAGATGCCATTAAGGGATCAAATCTTTGATTATAAGGCATTCCTATATGTTTACAGGAAAGATCTTCCTGGGATTCAAGTTTTTGACATTGAGCAGTCTCATATGTTGGCTGTTTGAGATCAACTGACAGAACGCTTTGAAATGGGTAAGACCATTCCTGAAACAAGGAGCAGTTGTCTCATTCCAATGTCAATAACAAAAGATTCTCCCAAGCTCATAAGTAAGGATGCAGATGTACTGTATACATTTGACTTTTGCAAGGATGAACCAAACATGATTGTACCAAATGTATCTTCATGTGTAATCTGTGTTTATGATTCTGTTTGGTGTATTAGCTTAGTTAAGATGATAAGTACAGAACATGATGTTGAAATCCAATTTTTACATCCACATGGTCTGAGGAAAACATTTAACTGGCCTTCAAGGAATGACATTTGCTTTGTACCAGTAAATAAAGTGTCATGTGAAATTTCACCTCCAAAATCAGCAACTACTGTTGGAAGATCTTACAAGCTTTCATATGAGGATTTCATTAAGATAGTAGCAGCATTTACAAGTTTCCAATCAAGAACAGCTTGATTCATTTTTTAGGATTCTACACATACACACACCACCTATTATTTGTATATAAATTACTGATGTGTTTTATTTCATGTTGACAATTTTTAAACAAGAAGTACTTTTTATTTAATCAAAAATAATTAAAAATTTGTAAATGAAGGAATAAGATTTGGCCCTAATACTAATGTTATTTCTAGAGATATTTGCATATTTACATAATTTTGCAATAATTTTTATCTCCCATAACTTATATACATACTCTTAATATTTCTTTCATGTTTACAATAATGAAAGAATTATTTAAATTGAAGAAGTGTTCTTAATGTTTTAGAGATTGAAAATTGATAAAATAAAGAATAAAGAAAATTTGTTTCATAATATTCACATTTGCATTATTGTCTATTAAAAAATGTTTTTTGTGCTGATAGTGCTGAGTTTATATTTCAATATATATATATATATATATGTGTGTGTGTGTGTGTGTGAGTGAGATAGGATAAAGAAAATAGGAAATGTTTATTCTGCTATCCATTTACCTCCTTAAGTAGATTACTTACTGTTTCCTCCTATTTCTTTAGCTTTCAGTATGTCATGTGAGTGTTAAATTCTCTAGGCCCCCTTTTCTTTTATCTTCTATGTTCAACTCTCTGATGGACAATGTTACCTTTCCCAGACTCCATTAGAAAAATATTTATGCTTCTCTTTCAGGTAATTTTCTTTAATTTATATATTTTATTTTTTAAATTTTTAATCATATCGGATTTTATTTTATTTTTTCTTTGCAGCCTCGCAAACCACCAGAAAATTTGGAAATGGAAGACATTTTAAGTGCAGATTGTAAGAAGGAAAGACATTTACAATTTGCCAACAGTTTAAAGTCTTTGACTGCCCCGACTCATCCACTTGAAGAAAACTCATCAACTTCTGTATCGCTCAAAACGTATGAGGTTTTCTTCCTTCAATCTGTTAATTTTTTATATTTTTGTTCAAATATAATAATTTCTGAAAAGTATCTTGAAAATAAGTTCATATTTAAATGATAGTTCTTTAAATAATGTTGATTTTTCTAAGCATAGATTAGATGTGGCACAAGGCTGAATGTATGGGGCACCCAATGTGGATCAAATTCACTATTCAGTCATAATTTATCTAGCAAGAGAAGCTTGCTAACCATTACACCATGCTGAGGTACCCAAGTTCTTTAAATAATACCCTCATCTTCATTTTTTTTTTTTTTTTTTTTTTTTATCATTTTACTTCAAGCAAGACAATAAAGTCACCAAAATTCAAGGGGTTACTGAGAGTGGAAGAATGAGAAGAAAGCATTAATGAGGAAGAGAATAAAAGAACAGTAGACAGATAATGATGATTGATATTGCATATAATTTTTTGAAAATCAAACTTGATTGGAAAGTAAGAAGCCAGAAGAGAATTCCACAAGCCAGGAGTGTAAGCAAAGAAACTATAGTGGTGTGGTACTTAGTGGTTAAAATGAATAGTTGATTTACCCATGCCAAGAAAATTAATGAAGAATGGTAATGACGAGGAAACACATGGGTAATTTTAACAAAGCAAGATAAGGAATTTATTTCTAAATTTACATGCTTGAAGTTGTATCAGTAGCTCGTTTCAGGAAAATAAATCAGAAATTTTTAAGTCTGTAGTTTTAGCGAATTGTCACGAAGAGGAAATGTTCATACAACATATTAAATGATCTGATACAAAATAATATTCAAAAATGTTTAAAACAAAAATAAGAAAGTTTGTTGCTCACCAAAGTGATATATGGTTTGTATACTTTCAAAAATAGACAAAGAGAGATAGTTTGAAATATTTAACTTTCTTGATTTGATGAGAGAAAATTCTTTGAAGTGCCACATACTTGGTTAGAAGACAATGTTATAATTGGCAAATAATTTTACACTGGCAAGAACTTCAACATTGGTCACTGGTCATGAGGGGCCGAAAAAAAACCTTTGACATGACTACTCTGATTTAATTTTTCTCCTCATGTTATATCAAAAAGAATTTTGCAGAAGCTTGCTACTTTTTCTTTTTTCTTGACTCAATGGCTAATTTTTGTGAAGACAAGGTTTTCATTGGTCCAAAAACAATTTCACATAGGCTCACAAATTCCTGTTTTCTCAGCTCATTCGTCAATTTCTGTGAAGGCAAGATTTTCATAGGTCCAAACAAAATTTCACATGAGCTTGCATATTGCTTTCCCTCTTCTCAGCCCTCAGAATTTGAAGGGAGTGGGTGAAATGAGTTCTTATCATTTTGTGCTCACCTCAAAGCTGTTAGAATAGAACTTATTGTTACATCTAGCAATTTCAACTATAAAATTATAAGACTTAGCTGCCAATCTAGTATTATGTTTACATTCATAAAGTCTAGGTACCAAAGAGGAAATCTCATTGGAACAGTTACCATGAAAATGTTTATCAAAAAGGCACAGGGAAGCTATGTTACGGTGGTGGGAAAATGACTGAAGCCAAAATACCAGGTCAGAACCAACTTTGTCAAGAATCACTGAATACATAGAAGCACCAGATCAGATGTGACAGCAATATTCAATGCCTGGATGAATGGTTGACTTCTTGTAGGTGTTCTGAAAGCAAAGGAAATATTTGTTGCAGATTACTTCCACAATGCAGAGAACAAATTATTGTAAGTTCAGACTCGAATATCGGGGACAGAAAGAAATGCCAAAAACTCGATTCGCAGGTACTATCTCACAAATCACAATGCACGTAACCAGTCAGAAAAATAACTCAATTTCTGATGAACACGGTAGCCAAAATACACCAATTTTTCGTCCCCGATTCGAGAACATCAACTGCTTTTATCGGCTGAGCATTTTTTCCATTTGTCAACAACTGGGAGAGGACACCCAATTTTTGCATATCAAAATACTTTTATAGAGACTCCTGTGACGGGCTTGTTATTAATTTACATATTCCGTCTTCAGCATGTCATGCGGAATACGTGCCCTTTTTTCTTTCTTTTTTTTTTTTTTCTTTTTTTTTGGTAAGTAATTTTCTTTTTTTTTGGTAAGTAATTTTCTTTTTTGACACATTTGAAATTTTGTAAGATACACCACGGCCGCACTGTCGCTTGGTTTGACGAGGTAAGTCGCCGTTTTCTTCGCTACATTTCTGAAAGTGTAAGATGGAATCTGGCAAGAGGAACTGTCTAGCATGACACAGTGAACAAACTTTTTTGGCAGCAGACCTAGCAATTGATTCAATATAATTCTTCTACTTCATGGCAGTGGAAAACGTTAGTCCAAGAAGGTGCAATGTCACTCTGCTGGTGGTTGGCATCAGCCATGCTGATGGAAAGCAAAAAGGGTTCTCTAAGACAAAAGAGAGCGGTTTCATTTTGGAGGTGTTAAAATTAACAAGCCATTTCTCGCTTCAGTGTGGGGTTTTTTATACCCTTTGAATTTCTGTGACCAATAATTTGTCCTCTGTAGAAAATAAGGGTGAAAAGAGCATTGACGCGACATGGTGAGAGAAAACAGAACAACAAACTTGAGAGGGAAAAAGGCTTTATGTCAGAAAGAGGAAGATAAAAGGGAAGATAGAAAAATTGGGTTTCAAAATGATTACAAAATAACTGGTTTTTGCAATGACTTGACTGATGGCAGTAAAGTTTGTTTGGTTAACAATTTTTCTTTTCATTATTGTTGCAACATCAAAATATCTTCATCTTTAAGTCAAGGAAGGAATAATCTTGGATGCTCCATTTCTCGACACCATGTGGCTGTTGTTTGTTGAGTTTTATGGAGCTAAATTTGTCCATGTTGACTCGTTGGTGGTACAGGGAAAAGAGTCTGTGATAGGCTGCTTTCAGCCAATCACAGGGGGCCAGTGATAATGACCCCTTCAAAGGGAGCAATTGTTTTATCTATATAATTTCAATATCAGTTAACAGTTTGAAGGTCATTTTTGAGATCAGCTGTTATCCAGTTTTGTTTGCCAATTATAAAGAAAAATGATAAAACTAAATATACATCTTCATTTTCAGAGAGGAATCCTTAAGTAATTTGAACTTGGGTCATGAAAAACCCCAGAGCATCAAAAGGATGGTTTTTCCATTGACAATGCTATTATTTTAGGCAATGTTTATTGTTTTAAAAAGTGATGATTAGAACTGTAATAAAACTTAAACATATGATGAAAGGGAATTTATAAATTTGTTTTTGTTCTTGAGAATTTACAATAAAAATATTAATCATTATTTATTAGTTTATTTCTTTACAAGAAATTTTTATTTACAACATTCTAATACAATGCAATATTTATCATTTACCAATTTATAAAGAAATAAATATGAAAACAATTTTATTCATAAATTTATAAACATTAAATTATTCAAATATGTGAACCAAACTATAAGAAAATTCTCATCATTTTATAAAGTTTGAATCAATTGGTAATTAGCCAATGTTTTGTCAATATTTAATAAACAATCTAATAAATAAATAGTGTTTATTATTTTTGTGGTCAATTCTCAAGTTGTTATTCTTTTGTTTTTTTTTTTATTATTATTTTTTTCAATCACCATGCCCTGAGAAATATAGTAGAGTGGTTTCCTGTTGTCTTTTTCATGATTGTGAATTAAGAGTTGTTCTTCTTCGTTATTTAATCCATAGGTGGAGGGAGAACACATTTATGCCTTTCCCAAGAACATTTGTACAAAAGTGAATGCAACAGGCCAGGCTGCAATTTGAACTTTGCTTTCTGATCCCACTGTGCTGACATTTACCTTTTGTACACAATTATTAACACCAGCCTACTTTGTTTATTATCTATTCTGAGTGTATTTGCCATCTTGCTCTTTCAAATAAGGGGGGATTTAAGCAGAGTAAAAAAATTTTGAAAACGTGTACTTAAGTGTAATACAACCCTCGATTTATTGTCTTCAATTTTTGTTCAAAATTTCTCGTATTATACACAATAAAATACAGTATGTAGGTAGACAATACAGTATTAATGTATATTTTCTTTTGTTTATTTTATAGCTTCCTTCAAATATGGCTGATGATTAAGCTTAGTTTGGCAAAAGGGTCACAGTAGTAGAGACTTTGGTAAAGATTGAGAGTGTGGTTGGGGAGATCTGACATTACTTTTGCTGCCCATTATTAATCAGTGTTATTATTCAAATATAAAGGCCAAAAATGTTTAGACAATAACAAAGCCAAATATACTAATCTCAATATTTTCTCATAATATTTATAATCTTTCTTTTTTGTCTTTTAATATTGTTATGATGTTGATTTGGGGTTAGTAAAGACAAACGCCAAATAACACGTAACAATAAAAAGGGGTTTATTAGGTTGGTAAGTAGGTAACAGAAATCGCCTGAGTAATCTATAACGAGCTCAGCCAAGAACTTCTCCGACTCTGTCTGTCTTTTGACATGCCACTATTTAACGTCTTTGTTTGTAGACAAGTTCATCTTTAAGAGGGGTGGTAGGTTTCCTACACAACAAATATATTGTCTCTTTAGGCCCTCTACAGCTTCCTTTTATTTATATTTTAAATATCTGAATTGTCAACATTTTCTAGGAAACATAATGAAGTGCATTCCCATTGCCTTCTCTACAGTTTTGAATCCAGATTAGACCTTTTCTTACACTGGCTACCAACCAATGCAACAGTCTATCATGACTGAGGGGGAAACATTTGTTCTGTTCTGAATGGCATCAATTCAGAGTGAACATAAGACCTGAACTTTGAACTCTGTTCACTGACTGCACTTTCAGCAAAGTTTAACCTGTGTTTGCAAAAAATGGTGTGTCAAAAGAACAGTTTTTCCCTTGACACCGCTATTATTTTAACTACCTTCACTACTCAGCAATATTTAGTGTTTTAAAAATCGATGATTAGAATTGTAATAAAATCTAAACACATAAAAGTGAACTTATACATTTTCTTTGTTCTTGAGAATTTACAAAAAAAATAGTAAACACTACTTATTAAATTGTTTATTGGAATGGTTGGCAAAACATTGTCTAATTGCAGATTGATTCAAACTTTATAAAATGGTAAATAAGGATTTCCTTATAGTTTATATATTTTAATAATTTTGTACATGTTTACAAATATTGGATTGCATTGGTTGTATTAGTTTTAGAATATTGTAAATATAAAATTATTCTTGTAAATAAGCAAGCTAATAAATAAATATATATATTTTTTTTACTTTACATTAAGACCAGCTCACAGATTAGTAAGTGAATGCAAGTACATAGGTTATGAACATAATACGGCAATTAATGCCGCATGGAATTTTAAAATTTTTTTTTCTCTTTAATTAAATGTAAAAAAGACTTACCATAATGTTGGTGTATGTGCAGGAAAAGCAAAACTGTAAAGCGCGTTCAAATAATGCTGTTGAGCTTATATCTGTAGACAGCAGACAAAATAAAATCTGATTGGTTAATGCAAGTCTTGATGCCATTATAAGAGTAAGATCTACCTCCTGATATAAGTGTTTTAAAATTACACCGTGGAGCGAATTATGCAGAGAGGTGGCCTATTAACAGGTCGATGTACCTGGTAGAACAGATTTGATGTTGCAATACCCAAAATTTATAATGGAGCCAGGGTAACATCACTGATGACCTTTACCATTTTTTTGTTGTAAATTCTCAAGAACGACAACAAATGTATAAATTCCCTTTCATCATATGTTTTGGTTTTATTACAATTCTAATCATCACTCTTTAAAACAATAAACATTGCCGATGAGTGAAGGTAGTTAAAATGATAGTGGTGTTAAGGGAAAAACAGTCCTTTTTGACACACTGTTTTCAGACACAAAATCAAACATAGCACTTTCCATGCCAGTAACCATTACACGTTCAATGTTTTACAATGCTTTCTCATTTTATGCTTATATTTTAATTTTTACATATTTTAAGTACGGAAAGAATGTGAGTAAAAATTTATTGGTTTAAATCATTTTCTTTTGCACAAGAACAACAATTATTGGCTAATCTGAGGTTAAACACTTGAGTCCTATTTGTCATTTGAAGTGAAAAATAATTACTGAAGCAAGCTTCACTTCAAAAGATTAAGAAATAGTAAAAACAAATTTTTGAAATGTTTGCACTTAAAAAAAAAACAATATGGACAATGAAAAAAATAATTAAAAACAAATATTCATTTAAGAAACTTTTTTCTTTGAACTATTTTATTTTTACTCAGATGTGATGGTATGCTGTAAGATATTTTAAACAATTTTCTATTGTTTTATGGAGAAAAAAAACAAATAAAAACATAACCCCAATAAACAGTCAACTTTATGATCTTGTCTTGTGGTTTCTTGCTGAAGTGATAAATACTATGTAGGAAGTTCATAAACGGTTTCATTGTTGGTTATTTTCCACAAAGGTTGCCAGACTGCTGTCAAATGTTGTCATCCAAGTTGCAGTTTGTCATACAACTTTGTATAATTTGTTTATTGACTGTTGAGTGCAGACAAGACATATTTCAAACTTGATTTAAAACTGAATTGGTAGCCAAACAGACAAACAATTGAAATTAGTTTAACCAATTGCTTACTTTTTTATGCCTGTTATGATCTTTGTGTTTTTAGGGGTGAATGATTTAGTGAGATAATACTTCAATTTTAAATGAAGTAATTTTACTGTCTGTCCCATAATAATTGTTAAATTTCTATACACATTTTGTACATGAAATGTAACTACTGTTGTATAACAGGGGTGCCTCATTATGGTGTAATTGTTAGCAAATTGGATGTGTAGATCATTAGAGGTTAGTTTGATCCTTACTGGGTGCTCCATACATGTGGCCTTATGCCACATGTATGGAAGCAAGTTCTGGAATCACTTTGGGGGCACCACATAGCAGCAGTGGGTGGGTCTTAGGCTGCTGGAACACATCCCTTTTCAGACTAGTTTTGGATTCAGTTATCCTTCTCCTAGATTTGCTACCACTCAAGGCAAGAGAGCTCAGTCTGCCCTGCTATTTTACCTATAACTGGAAGAAGATTGATTCAGATCCTTTTTCAAAAGTTTTAGTGTAAAGTAGGTACCTCCGCTTTTTAGCAGGGAAAATAGCATAGTGTAATGAAAAAGGCCACAAACTTAATAAAAATAAAGTTTTATCGTCAAAATGTTTGTTATTATTAAGGTGAAAGACCAAATTATTTTAAATTATTTTTGGAAATTTTTTAATTCTTTCTAACATGTTCAAAATTTTGGTTAAAATCTTTTGTTTGTCATTGTGGTGGCTATATAATAACATTGATGTTTTTGTGCTTTTTTTTTCCATTGAAAACACATTGATTTGGAAATTCTTGTAAAAATCAAATAATTGTCCGATTTTAATTAAATTTTCAGGACTTCACAAATGAATGAAATTATTTTTGAAATTTTTTTTTTTAATATGTTAACCCCCCCACACACACACACACTTAGGTAATTTCATGAAATTTCACACAAAACCTTTCTATCCCTGAATTTTTTTTTTTTTTTTTTTTTTGTTAAAAGTAGTCATCCTTGGAGATTGTAAATCACATACTTTTTTTTATTTTTTATTTTTTTTCAAATTTGAGCTATTGTAACAAAATCTGCTCTGAATTGAAAAATAATGAATGCAATAAAACTATGACATTATTTAATTAGAAAAGCTTTTAATTGCTTTTGTAAATAACTAATATTAAGGACATTATTGTCTGAAGAAATAAAATTTTTCTGATCAATTAGTAATTTTTACAAGAATTTTTTAATTTTTTTTTTTTTAATTTTAATTATAATAATTTATAATAGTTTAAAATCATGTAAAATTCTGTATTGGGCTATTTCCTGGATGTGATATAGTATTTAAGTGGAAACAAAATTTACAAATCCAAAATTGAAAAGATTAATAAACTTAGTTGAGCTATTCTATTTTTAAAATAATTTTTTATTTTGTATTTTTTTACTTAATACATGCCTTATTTTCATGTATGGTAGACTGAAATTGCCATTATTATGATAAAAAAGTTTTGTCACTTTATTAGGTCACTTTAATTGCATTTCAACAGGTTTTCAAAATTTTCATTCATCTTTAAAAGTTTAAAGCTCAAACTAAGTTTTACTTTTTTCAATTACTGTTTTGCTAAATATTTTTATTTTATGTATTTACATTAGAGTGGGTCATACTTCAAATGAGTAATCATGGTATTTCATTTGTTATTAAATTATAAAATTAATTGAAGAAAATTTTATAGTATCTTAATTTTTTATTTTTATTTTCGTATCTTCAAAAGGTAAATAAAAGTAAAAAAATATTAAATAATTGCAGAAAATATGTTCATTTGTAAAAATTACTAGGTAGTTAAAAACAAAAAAAATGTGTTCACTTAGATTTCTGACCATTGGGTCATACATAGTAGCTGTCATCGCTTCGTCAATCAGCAATCCATCAAACGTTGGATCAGATGAACAGGACCAATCATTAATAATTGGTTGTATATTATTTTTTATGCTATAAGTAAGTAATATTTATTTCAAATCAGATTAATTTAACTTTAAATTTTCTAATTTTACTAAAATAATGTGTCAGAAATATATATTTATTTTTTAAAAGAATTTTAAAATAGAAAAACTTGTTTTGTTTACAAATTTCTTAAAATTAAGAAAATGGCTGCTTTTAAGAAAATTTTAAGAAATCAAAATTAAATTTCACATTCCAATGTATATAATTTCTATCTGAACTACAGAATATTTTACTTAATGGAAATAATAAATTTAATTATTAAGCTTTCAATTAAAGCTAAAATGAAATCTTCAAGAAAGATTTTTCATTTTTAAAATTTAATTTTAAACCTTAGGTATCAAAAATTTATGCCAAAAATGTGGAGGTACCTAGTGTATAGTTTATGAAACAAAACTAACTAGAATTTTAACTTGGCTCAGTGACTTCATTTTCCATGTAAATAACTATTACACTACGTCTATAGGCAGGAAAGCACAGTGGTGTAGTGTCTGGCCAGTGTTCTCTTGATTGAAACTATACTTGGATAATGCAGTCCAACAAAACTGCTTCATATTTTATTATTTATTGTCAAAACTGTTTAGTAATTTGGAATAGCCGGTATAGGACTGATGTATTATTATTTTAACATCTGTGTAAAAATAAAAAATAGAATAAAAATAAAAAATAAATAAAAAAAGAATAAAAATAAATTAAAAAAAAAAAGAGGCTGCTTAAACAATGTGATAATTGAAGTTCTGATTAAGTGAATGTTTTTTTTTTTTTTCTAAAGCTAATTGTTTTACCTGAGTTTTGTCAATCTGGATGTGAATTGAAAATTAGTTGCTTCAAGAGTTAGACACATTACTAAGCTTTTAGGATTTTTTTTATTAGTAAGATTATTGTTACAAATATTCAATTTATTACTGTTGATATCAGATTAAGTTTTTTCTTCATCAAAAAGTTAATTTTGAAATATTTTTCTTTTCACGGTGGTGATAAAATAAGAGGAATATCAATCATTCACAGCACAAATACAAAGGAAATTATAGAAAAAGTAAAAATGATAAAATGTAATTAGAATTAATCTATTTTGTCAATATGTAATATTTTTGATTCATAATTTAAAATATTTGTAACTATTTACATTGTGCTTTTACAGATTTAATTAAAATTAATTATTTATTTTAATCCTTTAACAAAAGGTGGTATGTTTTATTGAAATTCAATTTTCTTTTTAGATTTTTACAAAATTTTTCCAAAGTTCAAATAACAGAAGAACAAGTACGGAAAGTTGTGAAGTCCAGAATTTTTTCAGTTGCTGTTCATCCAACTGTAGATAAAATATTGGTGGGTGCTGGTGGCAAGTGGGGAGCAGTTGGTCTCTGGGACGTTGTGAGTATCTTTTGGGAATATTTCCTTTTTTTTTTCTTTTTTTTTTTTTTATTAATCTGGAAAAAATACAAAGAAATAAAATTTGAAAAAATTCAAGGCAAAATGCATTTGTAAGTCGAAATATAAATGAATAAAAATACCTAATTGAACAGAAAGTTCTTAAAGCTTCTAATATGACCAGATCTACAAACTTTCCTTCCAACTAGATTTTTTTGAGTAACTTTCAGCTTACCTGTGTGAAAGAACAAAATGCATTTTAAAATTAATTGGAAACCTTACATATCCAAAAAAGCTCTTTTACCTCGGATCAAAGTGTTGCACCTTCTGACTAGGTTCATTGTAGTATCTATAAACTCTTTGAAAAGTCTTATAAACATGTGGGGAAAAATGTACACAGGTGCACATTGCCTTTTGTATATGTAGGTTCTCTTGGAAACAGTAATCCTTTAAAAAGCATTTAATTAATTAAACTTTATACAATAGTGCACACATTTTAAAAAAGATAAAGTGTTTATTTCATAGATTGTCATTTCTTCTGAGAAAGTTTCACACACAAAATCTGTTCTGGTTTTATTCATTCATTTAAACTTTCATATAATGGCTGGCCACTCATATCCGAGGCTGCCTGTCCACTAAGGTGACTAGCCAATCCCTGTTGCAGATGCCTGCTTGGGCACATTTGTGACTGTTCAACACCCACGGAGCCTACTTGTGGTTTATATTCCAACTATGCTGAGTATACCTTACAGTTTCTAGGAGAGAGCGTATGTGTTATCGAGCATGAACAACAGTCAGAACAAGGTCAACATGCTCAAAACTTCAATCACAATGACTTATGACTTTGTGCTGGTACCAACATTGACAACTTCACAAGGGTTGGATCAACTTGTGATATGGTTTTCAGGCACTTTCCAAAGGTGTCACATGCTAGGATTACTTCCACCCTGACTGATAACATCAAGGTTACCTTCCTGACAAACTGACCAGGGTGAGATTCAAACTTGGGTCTCATGGTCATAAAGCAAACATTCTAACCACCTGGCCATATATATGCCCAACTTTCATATACATACACACATACATAGCCGTGTTTTTTTTTTTTTTTTTTGAGGCAGGACTGTCATTAATCTTACTCAAAGCAAAGTGGAACCTGCCTGACAGACAATTTGTCATAATGATTTGAAGCCAGGTTTTACAAGGCTGAATGTTCTTGATGCCAAACTCACTCATAGTAGTCCAAGTACATTGAGTTTTTTTTTATCAAGACACCCTCTCTAGGTAGGTTGCAATTCAAGGCTTGGGACCTCATATTATATATATATATATATATATATAATATATATGTATGTATGTTTGCATATATTTTGGCAGCATGTTTTCATTGAGACATGTTTCGTTGGATAATTTAGACATGTTCTATCTACTTATTTTCAATTGCATCCTTTCATATTCACAGATAAGCTTTTTGGTGATGTTATCGCAGGATGACAGAAAATTGCCGTGTTAATAAATATTTCTTTTATTCCAAGTACTTTTGACATAGTGCAATGTCATCATTAGGGTATTGTTTATTGCAAGACAAATATTGTATTGTTCATTATTGTCAAAATTGTTGTGTTCATCTGAAAGTTAAATTTCTTACTTGTGCATTGAAGAATGCTGAGTTTAGCATGTGTGTATATGTGTGCCTATGTGTAAATTATTTTAAGATAGTGTATCTGTGAAGGAACAAAATGAATAAAAAGACTTAAAAAAACTATTCTTAGCTGACACATTTCCTGCCAACATTTGCTTTGATAAAGCCCATCTGGTTGATCAGAAAAAGTGTTCAATTAGAATGGAGCAAAAACAGCATCCTGTTTAGATGTAACAGTCTATCTTCTTCAATTACTTTAAAGTACTTTCATTAAAAGACATTTTGAATTAATGCAGTTACTGATATCACAAAAGTAGTCTGTTTATTCAACCGAAGTTAGCTGAAGGAGTAAAACAGGTAACATGAAAAACATGAAAACCCAATTCAGATCACAATTATTGAGTTTTTGAAATTCAATTTGTCAGTGTGATACCAGGGATGTAAAAGAAAATACATTTATAAAGCAATTGTTAAGTTTGGTGAAAATTGGTTGAAAGATCAACGAATAAATGAGAAACCAGTAAAAATTGTTATTTTTCACTATATGGGTTTTCACTATATGGATAGACTCAATCATCAAGTTAAATGACTGTTAAACAATGGATACAACTAAGTGAAGCTTTTGAAAATTGAGGGAGTTTTTAGTTTAAAATTTGTGTTGAAATCGATTTTTTGCCTTTATTTTTTTAATTTTTATGTTTTTTTGCTAAACGTAGTGTTGCAAAAATAAAAATGAGGTATCATTGAGCTCGTTATGATGTAAGTAACCTACACACTGCATTTAAACAAAATGGGAGGAAAAAAGTAAAAAGTGAATTTAATGATTTTTTGATCAGCTTTATCGATTATTGATTTTTTTAAAAAAATTATTGATTTTTTTTTTTATTTTATGTTAAGAACCTATCTCTTACATTGTACAATGTATGTGCCAAATTTGGTCAAAATCGGTTGGATGGATCTTGAGTGAAAAGGTATCACACAGACAGACACAAAGACATCTTCTGTTTATATATATATATATATATATATATATATATATATATATATATATATATATATATATATGCTCCTATAAGAAGCTCACCCACCTCTTGATAGGTTTAGTTTTTCATCCTGTGGAGGTGACATGCCACTCTCCTCACTAGCAAAGAAACTAGTGGGAGAGCTGGCTTAGATGCCAACCACCAGTCAATGTGACAGGTTGTACTGGGTTACATGTTACCAGTAGCAGATAAAAAGTTGATTTTTTACTTAGAAAACATATCACCTAAAATGGAGCTTAAGTTTCTTTTGAAGACTACTTTTCTATAATTTTTTTTTTTTTTTTTTTAAACAAGTAATTTGCTTGATCTGATTATAATGAATTCTTATTTGGTCTTCATATAACTGTATTTCTCCCTAAACAAGACAAAAATATAACTTTAAAAGATCAGAGTTAACTTAATTTACATTTAACTACAATTTTTAACATTGACCAAATTAGATTAATGATAAAATCAATGTCTAAAGATTGTAAGGAAGCTTTTTAATGTATAAGCCAGTAGCCCAATAAAAGCATTGGTTCATGAATTTGGTGACCTAGTAATTGTGAGTTCAATCCTTGAACTAAGTAGTACAGATTTAGACTTAGTAGAAATAGAAACAGAAAGCAATAACTGAGCATTACTGAGAATTAATGAAATATCCCAAGACATGAACTAAATGAGAACCATTATTAAATTCTCTGAAGGTTATCTGGATTGACCAATACCTGAAGAAAGCCGAGGCTGCAGCCATAATGTGATGATATTTGGACATTAGTCTGAATGTAAATAATATATAAGAATTTTAGGTTTTGGGTACATCAAAGTCCTGTACTCTTAAGCACTAAGACATTTTGTGACACATTAAATGTGTCAAGTCATTGTGCTTCTTGTCAATTTTCCTTTTGTTTATGTGCTATAATAAAATAATGTCTTTGTTTTACAGAATCAAGGGTTGTCTGAAGATGCAGCTGTCTTGTATTACCCTCACTCAAACCCGGTGAACTGTCTTGAATTTAGTCGAGAGAACCCTGAAAAGTTATTTTCATGTGGTTATGACGGAACACTTCGTTGTGGACATTTTGAAAAGAAGATTTTTGAAAATGTAAATAGCATTTGTGTTTTCTGTTGATTCAGTCAACAACTTCCATGTTTGCAAAATTTTAATCTCATTTAAAACAAAAACATTACATCTGCTTTAAATGTTTTCATGCAAAAAAGACAAGATATTTTGTCTGTAAAGAAAATTTGGGATTTTTTGCAAAAACAAGTCTGCAATTAAAACTAGATTGATGTCATAACTTTTTTTCTTGCCACAAAATATATAAAGATAGAATTTAAGTGTCATTAATACAGTGATGTTCGATAAAAGTGATTCATCTGATTTTTTTTTTTTTTACTAAATGTTCTCTACTCCGATGAAACGAAAGTTGAGCTAAATTCAAAGGATAAGCGATCTAAAATCCGAAGAAGCTTTGAAAGCTCTTTGAATTTAGCAGTAAGTACTGTCAAGCATCCGTTCAGTATAATGTCTTGGGGATGCTTTTCTTTTCATGGAACTGGTTTCTTAAAACCTATTGAAAAGACCCTCAGGAGCGAGCAGTACAAGAGAATTTTAGAATCTTGTCTGCTTCCTTCTGCTGAAGGGGTGCAAATCGACCCCACCAAGCTCATTTTTATGCAGAATAATGCTCCCTGTCACAAATCAAAATTGATGAAGGTGAGTCTTATGACATGGCCGCCCCATTCTCCTGACCTCAACTGCATAGAAAACTTATGGAGCATTATAAAGCACAGGTTCTCGAGAAAGCAGTTGAGCAACAAAGAGGATTTGATTATAAATTTCATATCCAAATGGAATTCAATGCTTGGAGATGAGATTTGCCAGAACCTAATCAAGTCAATGCCAAAAAGGGTTGAAAAGGTTATTCAAAATAAAGGATAACCTATAGATTATTAAATATTTCGAACTATATTACCTATTATAAATAAATTATACCCCTATTATTCTTTATTTAAAGCTGTTCGGTTATGTTTCTATTGATTACTAGTTGCAGGAAATAAGTGAGTCATTTTTTTTGCACAGAATTTTTCCCTAAATGTCATTTATATCCAAAATTATAATTATCAATATAATACCTTAGGGTGAGTAAACTTTCTTATTAGGTGGTCTGGAAGGGGTTTTTATATTAGTAAGATTAAAAATTAGTTTGACCCCAAAAACAATAGGCGAAAAAATTTTTGAGTAAAAAAATCAGATGAGTCACTTTTATCGAACAGCACTGTATTAGAAAAGGCCTATAAATTATATTTTTATAAAATTTAAATCTATATAGTTCCTTATTAATGACTAAAATCCATTTTTGAGTATCTGATCCTTTTTACCTTTATTCCCTTTGCCACAGATTTATTATACACCTGAGGATGAGGGCCTTTTACTTCGAAGCTTCACGTTCCTTTCACCTCACATTCTGATTGTTTCACAAAGTGATGGCAATGTTGCATTTATTGACACAAGAACTGAAGGGTAAGAGAGCAAGTGAAAACTTTTGTGAGAAATTGCTTATTACTACTTATATAGCTGTATTTATTTATTTATTTATTTAGAAGAATTTTTTAAGTTTTATCTCCAACTTGAACATTTATTTTTGAGAGAAGTTATTTCTCTGTCTGTAATAACAGTTTGGGCAATTTGTATTGAAGAGAAGCCATTCCTCTCTTTTAACCATGTGCAATAATTTATAAGCATTTTTTTCTCATTTGTAAATGATGTTTAAAATATTCTGATTCTAGAAGAAAAGGAGGTTTCTAAATATGTTAAATTAAGATTGTTTGGAAGTGGGGGGATGTACTGTTAGGTAATTTTGCAGTTGCCTTTGTTACATTTGTTTTGCACAACTAATTTAGGATTTTTATCTACAGTTGACTATTATTTGTTACGTTTAAGAAAAAAAACTCTTTTGAAATCAATAAAATAAAGATAAAGAAAGCTCATATGAAATGGACACACACACTTGTCTGATCTTCCTTTGATTACTGACTTGAAATAATGCTTTGCTGTTAAGGACAATACTGAAGGAATTTTTTTTATCATTTCACTCCAAGAAAGGCAATAAAGCCACTAAGATGCAAGGGGTTATTGAGTGTGAAAGAATATGAGAAAAAAAAAACATTAGAGAGAAAACAATAAAAGAAAAAAATTAACAAGTCAGAAGATAATGATTGATATTGCATTTAAATTTTTGAAGATCAAATTTGACTGGAAAGCAGTAAGTTGAAAGAAGATTTCCACAAGTGAGAGAAGAAACTGTTAGCATAGAACTTAGTTACATCGAACCATTTTAACTATAAAATAATGAGAGCTGGCCACCAATCTAGTACTGTGCTTAAACTCATAAAGTCTAGGTTCCAAAGAGCAAACTCATCTGAACAATGAAAGTATTTATAGAAAGAGCACAGGGAAGTTGCTTTCTATGTGTTTAAGGCATTAAGAGAATGGATTAAAACAAGTTAAAGAAAGTTCTCATAGTCTTTTGGTTCTGATCTTGAAGGACTTCATTTTTTTAGCAAACAGCAAAAATTTATATACAATCTTGACTTCAGATGTTTTTGATCCATTACTTTTTCTTTTTTCAGGTATAAAGCAGAGGAAATGTTTAGAGCAAGTCTAAGAGATGTACGTACTGTGGACATTCACCCAACACAACCAGATTATATCATTACTGCAGGACTTGACTGGTCAGTATTGCTACTTTTAAATAGCTCTTCCTGATCATCTTTATTGGGAATGGGAAGGGCATCTAGGAGAGAATATATTAAAGAAAATGAGGATGCAGTTCCTTAACATGGTTTGCTAAGAAAACCAACTTTTTAACCATTGTCATAGAAAGAAGCATTACTCTTAAACAGTTTCTTTTTTTAATAGATTACTATTTTACTCTTATCAAAAATGACTATCGCACAGTTTTCTGACTAAAAGTTCATTACTTGCCAATTACTATATAATATATTAGGCAGAAGTTCTGATAAGCTATATTCCTTAGTTCCACCAATTCTAACCTTCATGCCACATAGAGTAGACCGAACCATACTCATTCCTTTCATATTCCATTAGTAAGGAGTAAGTTCCATTCTAACAGCTTCTTTCCATGAACAGTTACTTTGTGAAACTGATTACCAAGAGGATTCTTTATCAACCACTACAATCTTAACCTCTTCAAATGTAGGGCTTACGTAGATCTTTCCCACATGTATCACACTTACCTTTTACTGCTCATACAATAGCCTCCTTCAGTAACCTTCTACCTTGAGTGGCTCTTGGGCCTTGTACAAGGTGTCCAAATTTTTCCTTCAGAGTAATTAATTTCTTTATTTTCCTAACATAAGAATAATAAACTCTTTATTCTGGAAAAGCACAAGTAATTAACCATCCTGACTTTGGTTCTCTCTCTCCACTTGTTGGGTGATGTAGTCATCAATGACTGACTGACAATCATTGTTCTGTTCTATTACTACCTGCAGCAGATTCAATCACAGTAAGTTTTCTATATATATTCCCACAAATGTCTAGGCTGGTGGTGGAGAGGAATAGATGCTTTTTGATTTATCACTAACCCAGGCTAAAGTACTGTTTACCCTTGAGTTAAGGGCTTGTGACTTTATGCTAACACAACCATTGACAGTTTTGTCTACCCACTTTCACTCACAAGGCTTGAATCAATGCATGGTATGGTCTTAAGTAACTTCCCAGCGGTGCCACATGCTTTGCTAGTCTCCTCAGACTGATATTATCAAAACCTCACCTATGTGACTAATTGATCAGGGTGAGATCAAACCCAGATTTCATGGTGGGAGAGCTAATGTTCTTAAACATCCAACTGAAGAAGGTAAGAGAAAAAGGCTAGTTTCCACTGTAGTCCAACTACAATGCTAATGATGGTACTTAACATAGGTATGGGCATCTGGTTCATACACTGTTGTAGTCTTCTTCATGATTTGGTTTAATAAGGTCCAATTAGCACCTAATCTAAAAAATGAGCTACAATCTGTTAACTGGAACAAGAAATGACTTGTTAATTTTATCGCTTCTAAAACGAAACAGACCTCTTTTACTCATATTAGCAAAACCTTTTTTTCCCCACCTTCCATCATCATGGCTGATGCTAATTTCCAGCAGAGTGACTTATTGCATCTTCTCAGGTTAACATTTTCACTGACATGAATTAGATTATATTGAATCAGTTTATAGGTTTGCTGCTAGGAAAGTTGATTCACTATGTCATGCTAGACAATTTTTCTTTCCAGAATCTATCTTACATATTTATTAGTCTACCATTTGTCCATGCACTTAATGTTGCTGCTACATCTGGTCTGTTGTTTCTGCTCTGTATTTAGAGATTCTTGATAAAATCCAGAGAAGAATCTGCAATGTTATCAGTCCTGACCTGGCATCTCAGATCCAGTTACTTTCTCACTGCTACAACAGCTTCCCTTTACAATAAACATTTTCATAGTAATTGTACTCATAAGCTTTCCTCTTTGGTGCCTCAGTTTTAAGAATTCAAGTGCAGTACTAGTTTGGCAGCTAGGTCTCATCATTTTCTAATTGAAATGTCAAGATATAACAATGTTTCTTCTCTTGAATGTCTTGCTTGTGGAACTCTCTTGCTTTCTAGTCAACTTTGCATTTAAATCTTTGAAGATCAATGATAATTGTTATCTTCTGTCTTAATTCCAGTTCTTTTATTGTCCTCTCCTCTTAATGTTTCTCTTTTTCTCAGTCTTTCACACTCAGTAATCTCTAGTGTTTTAGCAGCTTTATTGCCTTGTTTTGGGTGAAAGGGTTAAAATATTGTGTCTTGTCTTTCCTTTCAAAGGTTTGGATAGTTTTGTAATGAGAGCGATTGGAAGAAAGATTTATTCTCCCATTATGGGCATTATTATATCTGGGATATGACAACACTGTAGCTTACAAACAGGTTTGGTTTGTTTTGTTTTACGGCATATCAACCTCAATGGGTTATTTAAAGCCAACAAAATTTTCATTGTTGGTAATATTTTTTTCCAAAAATCTATTTCTGGTAATATTTTTTCCTGCAAAAAATCTTTCTGGTAATAATTTTTTCCTGCAAGAAATCTTTCTGGAAATAATTTTTTCCTGCAAAAAATCTTTCTGGAAATAATTTTTTTAAATGTAATTTTTTGCTGCAAGAAATCTTTTTTTTTTTCCTGCAAAAAATCTTTCTGGTAATTTTTTCCCAAAAAAAAACCTAATTTTTCTTACAATTTTTCATACTATGTATTTCTGGTATTAAAACCTATTCTTACACTTTCATAGTGTTTTGATCCCAGTATTGGTGTGTGTGGGGGGGTAACTATTTGCCCATAGCTGGGACCCTAACAGGTGTTACCACCCTGAGTCAGGGTTGACCAAGGAACACCAGCAATTAAGAGTTGGTTCCACACTTCTTAGAATCTGCTGATGAGAGGCCTTGCTATTGGATGTAGTTTGTTGTCTTACCCAGGACGCAAATGTAGTTTATCGTCATACCCAGGTCAGATCTCACAGAGAGGATGGAATGGAATGCTTGAAAGGAGAAAAGAATGACAAACATGCTTTGTTTTGAAACTTTTCTCAGAGAAAACATTTTAATATATATATATATATATATATAAATATATATAATTATTTTCTTTTTAAAAATATGATTCCATCACTTTCAAAGAAATTTATTTTGTAAATAGTAAATTTCTTTGAAAGTTTATTCCTAACATTGCTTGACAATTAATGATACTATGGATTTTATTGGTCTTATATATAATTTGCAGATACTCCTGACCTAGAGAAACCATTTTAAGGCTCCAGATTTAAACAAGTCGGATTCAACTATGTCCTAAAGGGGAAATGGCACCCCATGTGCCTGTATGCTGCTGTGGAAGGCAGATTTAGCCTCAGCCTGGGTCCTTTGACCCAGGCTAGAAGAAAGCAGCCTTCTCATTTGGTTGCTGTTCACAAACTGAAAAAATAACTCAGCTTTTGTCACTGTATGTAATGACGTCACAAAGTGGCCATCATGTGACTCACATGACTTATCTCCACCAAAGGGAGATAAGCGCCTTCTATATCCATACAGTTCCAAATTTTAAGTTCATCCTTTAGATGAATGCATGTAAAGACATGCATTCCTGTTATTTCATTTCAATTTGGAAGCCTATCTCAATAGTAAAGTTGATCCAAGTATGACATCAACAGTTTTATTAATTTTAGGATCATCATCCAACAACCTCTTCCAACCCTTTTAAATTTTCACCTCCTTTTTCAGTGCTTTGTGTTTGTGGGATATACGAAACATGAGAAAGGCTCCAAAGAAAATTTTTTCAGCGTCTTCTGGACGAATGTTAAACAGTGCATACTTCTCACCTGTAACAGGAAAATATATTTTATCCACATCACAAGACAACACATTGAGGTAAGAGAAATGATGTTTGGAAACTTTTTCTCTTTACAATTATAGTTTTCAATATTCATAGGCAATTTTACCAAACATTATTCATTTTTGTTGAAGAAAATCTTCTTTGCTTTAACTCCATTCTATTGCATGCAGAGAGGGCTGGCACTAGGAAAGTGTGTATTAAAGACAGAGTGGAGGGAGAGATAGTGTGTTTATGTGCCCACACACAAAATACAATGATTTGACTTCATGTGATTACCAGGGTATTTTTAATTTTTTACAAAAGGGAACAAACAGTGCTGTCTTAAAAATTTGTTTTAGAAACACTATTTCAGGTTTCGGTAAAATTTTTCATGTGTTAATTTTAAAAAATTAAACAGAGAAAATGTTCACTTAAAAAAACTGAGCATTTTATCGGTTTTATCTTTCCAGAAAATATATATTTCCAAAAAATAGGAGACTAAAATGTTATTTTAATTACTAGCCTTGGACTTCTGGTTAGTATTACTATTAGTAAGTAAAAAAAAAAAAAAAAAAAAACAGAGAACCTCCTTAGTGGGTCATCTCGGGAGGGGATGATTTTATTGAGATATATTAGCCTCTTAATGGATTTTTAAAAAAACTGTTCAGAAAAAAATTACAATTTAAAAAAAAAAAAAAAATAAGTATTACTGGAATTAGCATGTCTGACACCCCCCCTCCCCTCATCCCTAGGAGGCATGGAGGCCCCCACATGATTGAGAGGTTCAGGGTAGTAAGCAATGGCTCTGTTGATTATTATAGTTGATAGACAATATAACTTAGGTAGAAAAAAAAAATAGTACAAAAAGCAAAAAATGCTGCTGAAACTAGCCCTTTTTGCGGGGCTCCATCCTCATCAGATGTTCCTGTATAGTATGCACCACACCAGCCATGCAGATACACGATGTATATTATTAGTTGATGACTGACAATGTAACATCAGTTTAAAAATAATTTTAAAAAATGCCATAAAACAGTGCTAGAAAAAAGAATAACTAAGGTTATATTGGGGCTCAAAAAGTAAGACTTTTTTTGGGGGGGGCTGCATGCAGAAGTGTATATGGGTAATGTAGTTCTTATTCTTTCCTCTCCCTCTTTATTTCGCCATCCATAAAGTCTTGTTAAAAAAAAAAAAATCTACATTTGTAACGCTTGATAATAGTTCAGATATACTCATTACATAACAGTAAATGAACAATATAGCCCCAAAATTATCTAATGGAGTCTTTCTTCTCGCACTCCCTATCAATACCTAGCTGTCTTTTCAAACACTCCTCTCCATTTACATTTTATTCCCCTTTATTTGTGTTCGATACCCCCCCCCCCCACATAGCTCTTGCTTGGGATGAGCAATAGTCAACAGTACACTCCCAACATTTGGAGGCCACTAGACAGAATAAAATGATAAAACAAAAATAACAACTGATTGTTAGAATATTTTTTTTTAAATATTCATCAAATTTATTGAAGCAAAACAAGTACAGTTGACCACTGATGACAATTCCAGAACAACGTAACAATAAACAATTTTTTCTAACCTCTGCCAGCCGCAATGCTGGAGAAAGCATTACCTCGAACCATCGCCAGTGAGACACGCTGCAAGAGCCACTCCATTTTGCGAGGCTCGTCCCTTAATCGAGACATAACCGCGCCAATCCTCCGAAGGAACACCATCAAACGAGGGCCAATAACCCCTGAAGTCTCCACTGCCACAGGAGTAAAAAAAAATCTATCAGCAAGAGAAGAATATTTAACTATTTTTTCATCTCTGCGTCCCGGGAGACGGATCCTGGCTGAACCGTGGAACTGATCAAATTACCGGCCGAAAATGTATCTGCACAGGTCGCATCCCAAATCAATGATTTCCCCATTTTAAAAGGGAAAATGGTAATGCTGTCTGGCCGCTTTTCATCACCACGGTCGAGGCCTACGGGTTCGATTTGGGAAGGGAACCCAACTGCATCCAAACCTCTTTTGATGATGTCGTTAATGGCAGCATGCCGTGTTATCATTTTGTTTTGTTTTTTTTTTCTTTTCACAGAATTTATGACAGCAGCAAATTGGTTTCCAAACTTCCATGCCTTTATTCTATCAAGTGAGTTTTTATATATATCTCCTCTCTCTCACTCTCCCTCCTCTCTCTCTCTCCCTCCTCTCTCTCTCTCTCTCTCCTCTCTCTCTCTCTCTCCCTCTCTCTCCCTCTCCCCTCTCCTCACTCTCTCTCTCTCCTCCTCTCTCTCTCTCTCTCTCCCTCCTCTCTCTCTCTCACCTCCCTTCCCTCTCTCCCTCTCTCTCCTCCTCCTCCCTCCCTCTCCTCTCCTTCCTCTCTCTCTCTCCCTCCTCTCTCTCTCTCCTCTCCTTCCTCTCTCTCTCCTCCTCCTCTCTCTCTCTCTCCTCTCTCTCTCTCTCCCCCCTCTCTCTCTCTCCCCCTCTCTCCTCTCCCCCCCTCTCTCTCACTCTCCCCCCCTCTATATATTTTAAAGAGTAGACACAAGCTGCAAACGTTTTTGGTTATAATGTGTATTTTTTTAAACATTTATTTTATTTTAAACTTTATTTTCTATATTTTTGCTACATGTATTTTGGGTCTTGCAATCTTCATCAGGGAAAGAGTGGTTATTTCCACATTATTTAAAAGAATTAATTTTTCCTTGTTTTCTGATGTTTATCCATTGTTGTTTGTGTGTAGTAGTAATCCAAATTTTCTTGGATTTGGAGAAAATATTCTTCTGCTTAAGGGGGTATTTTTATATTGGGGATTTATATATATATATATATATATATATATATATATATATATAATGTGAAATTGAACAGGTTGCTGTTTCATGCTAGACGCAATTGTCAGGCAGCCTGACGATTGCGTCTAACATGAAACAGCCTGTTGCCTCTGAGTGTTGACTTCAATCTTCACTTATATTCTATATTTTATATTACATACGCTCTATCTCTGATATTGAGCACTTTATCTCATAAATATAGCACACCTTAAAACTATATTTCTTCATATATATATTCTGAAACTTCATTACCCTGGGTACTTTGATAAGTATATTTCATTTTGATCAAAGGGGGTTCTAAGGAGGTGGGGGTGGACAAAGCCCACCACTGAAAATTTTTTTCCCTTTGATTTAAATTAAATTTAAATTTAAATTTGAACAAGGGAATGACTCCTATGCAAAATACAGGAGAAAGCCAGAAGATGGAGGTTACATCAGCAAGATCAAAATGAGACAATATGGATGCCAAGTTGAGTAGGAAATCTTCAATCAGTGCCTTACAATAGATATTTATTGTGACGATTCAATATCAATGTTGAAATCTGCTCAGCAATTCATTCAATCAAGTATTGCATCAAATACATAAAATAAAGGAATGACTCCTATCCAGAATATGGAAGGAAAAAGTCAGAAGATGGAGGTCACATTGGCAAGATCATTGGGTAATATTGAAATGCATTATCATTTTTCTCTCTCCACAAATTATAACAATGATTTAAAATAAATCATCATCATTTTCTTACAAAAAAAAAGAAAAAAGTGTGACACACAACAAGCCGCGGCAAATTCAGCTAGTGTTTTTATATAATTTTACCAATTTAACTATTATTATAAATGTTACTCAATTAGGTATGAATGTTTGAATTGATATCCCTGTGTATTTACAGGAAAATTCAAAATCTACCAGACAAGATTATTGAAAATTCTATTAAAGAAATTTTTTCTCAGGGTATTAAAATTAATGTATGCCAGTCTATTTACAAACATCAGTTGTAAAAAAAATAAAATTAAAAATATATTTACATTCAATGACAGAAATTCCCATCATCGATGTTTTGTTTGCTGCACACAAAAGGAGCTACTGAAAAATTCACGCCAACACATTTTTCCAAATTTTTTTTCTTTTAATCCTTCTTAACATTTTTCTTGTCTTTTAGACACGATACTCAAACTGGGCGTTGGTTGACTAAATTTCGAGCAACATGGCATCCAAGCCGAGAGGACCTATTTGTTTGTGGGAGCATGGCAAGACCAAGACGAGTGAGTTGTGATGACTTTCAGTGTGTGTGTTTGTGTGTGTGTGTGTGTGTGTGTGAGAGAGAGAGAGATATCAAGTGAAGTCTTTTGTGATTTCATGCTGAATTAAAAGAAAGTGTTCTGATGATTTTAATCGATTCCATCATCAATCTCCACCCTCCCAAGTGAAGAATCTACATTTTGTTTTGTTTTTTTTCCAGATCGAACTCTTCAGTACTAATGGTAAAAAGGTCAGCAGCTTTGAACACTTTGAACTGATCAACTCGGTGCAGTCTTTAAATAAATTCCATCCTTCATTGAATGTTTTAGTTGGAGCCAATGCAAGTGGAAAGCTCCATGTTTTTACAGAGGAGGAGAAAAAGTAAGAGTGTGCCCTCTTTCTACCCCTCCTCCACCAACTGAAAAACAAATTCTCTCACCTGAAATAAAATTATATTATGCTTAACTTATTCTCAGAATTCATCATCAGCCTTGGCATCTCCCCCACTCGATCTGATAGCATGAAAATTTGTTATTTATTTAATAGTTTAACTTGTATATAGCTTTCACACCCAACTTACAGAAAAAAACAAAATTCACAAGAGATTCATTATCGGCTATACCCTTTCTAATTGTTCCTTTCTTTTTCTTTGTATTTATATGATTGGGAAAATTGCATTACCCAGGAAATCAATTAAAATAGAAAATTCATAGAAAAAAAAAGGTACTAAACATTTAAAGGAAAAAATAAAAAGCAACAAAAATGATATTTTAGAAAGATATGAATTAGATTTAACTAAATGAAAGCAATCCAATGTAAAATGTATTTCCAAATTAGTTTTTATACTTTTGTTTGAAATGCTTTCAAAATGGTGCTCAAGTCAATAATCCTTAAAAAGATCAAGAAAATTTTTATATATTTTTCTTTTCAGCTAACAGCTACATTTATATACTTTATTTATATTTATTCCAAGTTGTCCTCAAGCATATTGGTTAAAGAATAAAACATTTGTGAATGAGTTTCAGTATCACCCCCCCCATTTATTTATTTATTGAGGTCACCAGCAAAAATATTGCATGCAGCTATGGACATTTATTCACGTTTACAACAGGAAAATATCTTAGCTGATAAAATTTCTTTTTTGTTCAATTCATTGAAACAAACAATTGTTTCCTTGAGAGAAAAGCTAAAAGAAGAACACCAGACACTCCTCAACTTGCAGATACTGGAAAAGAGCCGGTGTTGTGGTCTTGTCACCACATAAGATCGTCCCTCAATTAGTACATTGTCCCATGTGCTCTTTTCAAATATGCCTTGCCACAGACTGACGGAACTGGCTGGGATGGGGAGGGAAATAAGAGCACTTGACAACATTACATTCTACTTTTAAGTACTTAATAAATCTGAAGTCATAGCTCTTGAAGTTTTAGCTGAATTTGGCACAAGGTCAAGTGAGGGGAGGGGAAACGGCCTGTGAAAGAAAGGAAAAAAAGCTCATAAATATATTTTCTAAGTAATGGATTTAAAAAAAATTTTTTTTTTTATTTATGAATCTGACAGATTTGATTACTTTCAAATTTGAGTAGATGTTCTGTTTATTTATTAAACTATATTTATTTTCATCTCCCAGCCTGAATATTTGAGAATCCACTAAAATTAGTGTTTAAAATGATAAAAATCTGTCAGATTGATAAATGAAAAAAAAAAAAAAATCCATTACTTTGGATACAAAACTGAGCAGATATGAAAACTGAGAGATTTTTCAAACTTTGCTTGATCGGCAAGGTTGCTCCATGGCCGATTTGGTTAAGGCACATTGGATGTAAATGGCCAAGTCAGCTAAGACACGTTGAATCTAATGAGTTTCCATCTTCCCAGAGGAACGAATCCTGCCAGAGAACGCATATTTTTCTTTAATAAGATTTCTCAAATATTCAGGAGGTTAGCATCAGCCACAGTCCTCTTCTACACTCCTCCCTGATCTGATCACATAAATAACATGGAGATGGTGGTCGCCTTCATCGAGTGCTTCTTCGTAAAGATGGATGGGATCTGCCTGTCACTTTTGCATCTGTGCCCACTTGGTCTCTCTCAACACTTTCTTTTTTTTTTTTTTTTTTTTTTTTTTCTTTTTTTTTTTTTTTTTTTTTTTTTTTTTTTTTTTTTTTTTTTTTTCTTTTTTTTCTTTTTTTTTTTTTTCTTTTTTTTTTTTTTTTTTTTTTTTTTTTTTTTTTTTTTTTTTTTTTTTTTTTTTTTTTTTTTTTTTTTTTTTTTCTTTTTTTTTTTTTTTTTTTTTTTTTTTTTTTTTTTTTTTTTTTTTTTTTTTTTTTTTTTTTTTTTTTTTTAACAAAAAAAGTAAACTTGGCAAAACCTTGAACAAAGCATTTTTTGAGAATTTAGGTATTCACTTACCTGGAATTTTGAATTGTTCAAACTTATTTTTTCAACCACTGTATCTGGATAATAAAAGAAGTACTGTACTCAATCCATTATATATATATATTTTTTTTTTTTTTTTTAAATAATATTTACACTATACAAGGCCCAAGAGCCACTCTAAGTAGAGGGTTACAGATCAAGAGGTACATTCTATGAGGATATGTAATGAAGATAATTATTAACCCTAGACTTGAATTGGCTGAGATTGTTGTGATTGGAAAAGCATACCCTTTCGAGTTGGTCCCACAATGTAGTGGTTCATGGGAAGATGCTGTTCAAGTGCTACTTACATCTCGCCAATGGAATATTTTTCTTAAATGGCCCCACTACACTCACATACAATTGTACAGATGATTAATACCATTCTACGATACGTTACTTTTAGCACCTATTAACAATACCGCATAAGTTGCAGGCTGGGGTGGGGGACAAACTTAAGTTAGGTGTTGTCTCATACATATTTACTGTGGGACAGGTTCTGCAATTGTGTTTGCCAAGTAAGTTTTATCTCTTATAGAAAACCTTAATTATTTCCTCTACAAACACCAAGAATGCAAATGAGCATCAGTTGCATGAAGGCAAAACCCTCATTTCATTTCCCAGGAAACAAAGAACATGTGGACACCATGCAATTTGCCACTGTTCTCTTTAGAGTGAATTGATCCTGACTAGTGTTCGTATAATGTAGCCATCCAGAACTTGATCTACAGATGGACGAATGTTCACTTGCAAACAACAAAGCACCGTTGATGAATCATGCAGTAAATCTCCAAAATAACCTAATCGAAGGTTGTCAATCTGGCTCCTCTTAAACAAATCTAATTTAACAAAATGGAGCATGTATGTACATTGGTTATATGATGCATTCTTGTGCTGAACCTTATTTCAACATGTGTCACTGATAAAAACTGAGGCATATACTGCAGTGAGTTTTGTATCACAAAGCAGCCTTTTTTTTTCTTTTTTTTTAAATAGTAATTCTTTGCCCAATACAAGGAATAAGAGCCACTCAGGTAGATAGTTAC